CTTCCGCTATCCTGTAATGTGTATGTGAAATTGTATATTTGTAAACGCACCTACAACATAGGAAAACATTCCAGTGTAGTACAATGTTTATACAAAAAAAAACTTGAATTAGAGGGTATCTCTTCGTTTATTTTTTGTGCGAATGGTAGACAAACAGTGTTTGAGTATTCACTCTCTCTTTATATATTTTACAACATCAGATCTATATATAGCACATTATTATTGTTATTATTCAGAGCATATGCAAATATATATGTTAGGTAGTCAAGCCACGCCCTCCTCCATACATCACTATGCCAGTCCACTGACATTACTTTCACTAAAATATTACATACACACAACATATGAACAAATTTTATTACCAGTTATTGCATGTCAGCGAGAACTTGAACAATTTCAGACATTGTGATTTAATACTCAATCTTCATAATATATGGTTGCATATTTCCCGCCGCAACCAATCAAGTGACGACAATGTTGCATTACTTACAAAGTTTAGACAGATCATTGTGGAAAATAAATAAAAACTATGTTTAATATCAGAATTTTTAATACGGTATACAATAGTTGTAAACGTGATTGATATATGAAACAAAATTTATTTTATATTTACACTCGTAACAAAAGACATCAACGCGCGACACTGAATTTGTATCTGGAACCGATTTATAATTTTTTTTTCAAACTGCTAATAGATTTTTTATGTCTTGATATAATATTGTGAAACTAAGTAAATGAACTATAGCCTCTTACCTAACATTATAGGTTCTCCTGGCATCTGATGAAGTAACTGTAACTTTAATTACTTACGAGTTATGTGCAAGTAAAATGCCAAGCAAACTATATCCTGTCATCATTATTGAACATAGGATGTTGAATGAGGCAAGTTGTTATATATAAAAGAGTAGCTAAAGATTATGAGTTACAAAATATTTCATTCTGAAAATAGTCAGTTTTGTATCTTTATGTTTTGGTATGATATAAAGACTATAGATTTAGACAGACAGGTCCAAGATAAGTTTCATGTTGGTGTACTTTTATGGTAAACATTACTCCATAGAATTTGACAGGCAAAAAAAGTGTTCTTTGTTTCTCTTCAAAGATATTGTCTCCACAAATATTCTTACTGAGTAGGTGTGTGGTTTCAATTTCTTAGTTCATTGAACTTGTGCTTCACACGTAACAAAACGAGAATCAAGTGTCATTAAACGTTTGTTTTGCAGGCTTGAACATCACGTTACCTATTGGTAATAAGTTAAAATGAAGGAGTATTTATGTACATGTTAAAAATTTGTTTATAAAAGTGTTCCCGGCAAGAAAGGTCATTACGGAATGAAACATGCTAAAACACCAATAGCTAGTTATAAGATATATCCCATGGCTATATCCCATGCAAAAAAGGTATTAAAAAATAAATAATATTCCGTCTCTGTTTCCAACCTAACATCTCTACAGCCGCGCTCACAACCACGAGACCTGACATCTAAGTAGTTTATACATATGAGGCAATACTGGGTGAATTTTCCTGATTGCGCGGCCGAGCCTTAATTGACGCTAAGTGTATTACGACAGGTACTATGATGAGGTCGGTGGCAGTGTTCGCAGATTTTTGCTGGCAAGCTCAGCAGATGTTGCAACAGCACTCTACTTAGGTGTGCTGGCTACCAAAATCTGGTTTGTTAGTCAATTTTGGAACTAGATTGTCCATGTAGTTGAATTATGTTTATGAGTCAGTTTTTCTTAAAGATTTAATTGCGTTGTTTATCAAGTTTGTCTTATTCATCAGAGATGAATGGAAAATAAAGCGTATCTTCAACCCGTGGTACGAGCGCAGATTTATGCGAGACACTTTGTGTTTTCTATTATCTCATATACCGGCTGAAAAGAGGTTAAACTATATCTTTCATTAACATACATCCAACAGTCCTACACCTTCTCAAACATTCTGACAATGAGTTACACACAGACATAAATCATCTTTCATGACAAGATAAATATTGATAATCTAGTTTTATACCTATGACGACGCAGAGGTCGCTAGTATAGCTTTAGGCACAATCTTTGTTCAAACTTTTATCAAATTCCGATATCATATCAGCCCTTACTCAAATCATAATTACAATCGCTCATATCTGCAAACTCCAATACTAATCAGATCGACCTTTAACGAAAGGTTAATTGGCAGATAGCGTCTCAGCTCATTTATAATCGTATGCGTTTGACCTTAAGGTCATTAGAAACAAAAGTGCGTGAGGCTATTATTTAGCCTGTGAGCATAATGGTGGTTCATAATCGCGCGCTAATCATTACTTCAGAGTTGCATTGTAAACATTAATTGACAAGGCTTTTGTTTGTATCTTGAAATGTCATCTGAATAATTAGCGGCAAAGGTAATTTGTTTCGTATTTTTAAAAGTATTGTTTGATTGTTAACTTACTTGGTACATGAAACCTTTCGTCAGTCAAAACATTTTCATTATAATTTTCTATATTATAATGAGAACTTTTGAAAATAATCATAATTTAATATTTTTTAACTAAAAAATTTTACGAAATAAGTTTGTTATTTGACGTAATAATTGTCGTACAAAATTCATAGAAAAGTATATTGTAATAAAGTATTTGAATTTTTCTAGTTGGAAACTGCCATATTGCCTTTATAGCGGATTAATCGAATTGAGACATTTGTTACGTTATGTAAAATAAAACTTCTTTATGGTTTTATTTTCTGAAAGGAAATTGGATGATAAATATTTATTTATTTGAAAGGCTTCAAATTTTGGTTTTGCGAGATCAGCGGGCAAACGTAAAGACGGATCATCGGATGGCTCGTAACAGCATAGGAGGTACGAGTACGTTGCCGGATTCGTGGAAGAGGACTTAGGGATTGGAGGGAAGACTTAGGCCTTTTCGACCCTACCCACGACGAAACACAGCGTAAGTGTTGTAACACGCCGGTATTCTATGAGGTCGTCGTATCACTCTCCACGACCCATTCGTGTCGAAGCGTGGCGAGCGCAAACTTTCTTCATCATCATCAGCCTATAAGTGCCCACTGCTGAGCAAAGGCCTCTTCTCATACGGAGAAGGTTAGAGCATTAATCACCATGCTTGCTCAATGCGGGTTGGCGATTTCAAGCTTATAATTAGAAATTATAAGTCCAGGTTTCCTCACGGTATTTACCTTCACCGTATGTCAGTGGTGTCTAAATAATCATAGAAAGTACATATAACTCGGAAAAAGTCACATTGGTAGGTACTTGCCAGGTTTCGAATCCACACCCTCATGCATGAGAAGCGGGCTCCTTCACCTTCGGGCCACCACGACCCTACTACTACGACCTAAACTTTCTTCACTTTACCATTATCTCTTAATAGTTTATTAAATCCAGTTTATAATATTGGTTAATATGAATGATTTGCAATTTTATTCGCGGGGTCAATACACAGTGTATGACGTAACTCCAATCTATCGAAGTAATACAACTGCAGTGTTACTATATAATAGTATATGTAATACATACGATACGAACATTTGCATGACCATAGCTAATCTGATAACTAGGACTCTGTACACTCACTTTGTTACATATACTATGTACCTACATAATAATATAATATGTTTTGTGAAAACATCACATAATCTAAGCTTCACTAACAAGAACAGTGAGACAGTTATCGGAAATGCAAAAAACTACTTGATATAAGTTTTAATTAAAGGTGCATAAAAATCTTATGGTCAACACAATAAAGCTTCGTTCCTGATGTGTTCTAAAATACTCTCGCATCCCCATTGCGTTGCATTTTAGTATTAAAAAAGATGGCCTTTTTTACATGACAGTTTAAATTCCAACTCGTTATTTTTTAATATATTTAAGTTGCCAATAGTATACATTTTTATTATTTCGGGTTAAAATAAGAATTAAATGTTTCAATTAAATCGAATTTTAACGAATTCTAACAATAAATAGCAATTAATTGTTTTAGCCGGAATCGAACTTGCAACACGTTAGCTTATCCACTGCTTACCTGCTCTCTTTTTATTTGGCAGATAGGCCAAAATGTCGCATTCTCTCATTTTCCAAACTGGAGTTACATTTACAGAGTTATAGTTTCAAGCAGTTTAAGTACCTACTACGTCCGCTACAACAAATCATATAAATTAACATACCACAGTTAATTTAACAGTTAATTCCAAATCATCATTTTCCCTAAATACCAGCAAGTCTATATTATTACTCTGATTTACTTAATTAGAATCGGATACGCTTGTTATGTTTCCAGTCAAATATTCAGATAATTATCTTCAATTTATTGCTATGTAATAAATAGATTTGCGACGATTAACATAAATTAAACTAAGTTGTTGGCGTAATCTTTAAAAAAATACACGTTGTTGTACGTACCTACTAAAATCACTTTTTTATTTGTAATATTTTTTGTTGCAGTATCAACTAAAATACACCTTCTATAAATTTTTTATCTAGTTATCACGGTAAGGTACAGCCTGGCGATAGACAGAAAAACATACAGACGGACGGACGAACAGCGTACTTTTAGTAATATATATAGATCCCGTTCTCCACCTTTAAAAATAAAATTAAACAATAGCAAAATAAACATAATAATAACATAACACAGGACAAATATTTACATATAATAATGATAAGAACACAAAAGGTCTTAAAATTCTACAAACTTCTGCACATTATTATTATTATTATGAGTTTCTTCCATACAAGTAGGTACCTATAACTTTAAGTACTATCAGTTCTGACATTGACGTGATCTAAACAATATGTATTTCTTGTTCTTCCCATTAATTATGTAAGTCCCACAATTAATAACGTACGTATTAATAATAATTTAATTTACAATAGCCCTCCAGACTTAGGCCTTACAATGCAGCAAACTGAGAAAGATGTTATCTTTCGTATGTTATTGAATTATATAGTAATCTTTTTAAAAGATATATCGGCAAACGAACAGACAGATTTCCTCATGGTAAGCAATCGGGGCCGCACATGGAAACTCGCATTAGTTACGAGCGCGTTGTCGGCCTTTTGGAGACTTAGGGAGGGAAAGAAGGATTGGGCCTCCGGTAACCTTATTCACACGGTGAAACGAATTATGAAATCTATATACTTTAATGTTGGTCTACCGATGTTCCCGGCGTCGATAGCGAAGCTCTCAATATTTTGAGCTATATATATAATATTCAAATACCAATTTACATATTATTTATTATGTTTTCGGCTTACTCACGTAATAATTTGACGAGATACTCGACTAGTTTCAAGCCATGCTAGAGACCCATATTCCGCGACACGCGACTCGGCGACTGTCGCGCTGCTACTCTGCGCTCGAGTAGCAGCGCGACAGTCGTTACGTGAGTAAGCCGAAAACATAACAAATAATTTAGAATGTCTCACGAAAGTTATAATAAAAATTTACATATTATTTAAAGGTTAAAATGGACTTACAGAAGACATTACCCACCATAACGAACTAATTAGTCTAATTACTATTAATAAACAAAAAAACTGAAACTGATGTAACCAATAACTCCGGACGGAGTATTGCAAAATATTCATAATTACGATATACCTACCTACATACATACCTACATATGCATATGTTGAAACTGTAGCATATAATATACATTATAATCCAGGTTCGTTATCTCTCTCATCAAACTACATAAAATTATAACATAAATTATGTATGTACAGTGACACACAAAATAACAAACATGGTCCTTTCTCGACATCAGTACTTATGTTGGTGAGTGTACCTGACATTGCCCGCGGTGATTGCGTGTGACCTTGCGCGCATGCGCTTTGACCGGCGCCCGCGCACGAGTTTTCGTTGACGCGTCATTAGTGCAAAGATTGCAAAAGTTATAATTTAAGGTTACATTCGATCGCTTGTTAGTAAGCTTAGGATATCATGTTTATTCTTTAAAGTTGTTTTATTTATTCACTAGCTTCCACCTGCGGCTTCACCCGCGTGGTATGTTGATAAAAAGTAGCTTATGTCCTATTCCGGAGTGTATCCTATGCATGTGCCAAATTTCATCCAGATCCGTCCAACCGTTTTGGCGTGATTGAGTAACAAACATCCAATTATCGTAATTTATAATAGTAGTAAGATTACGGAAAAAAGATATTTAGAAAACAAAATAAGACTCTCTATATCCTTATTATCTACGAGTATATAATACCACTAGCTATGCCCCGGGAATTTGTTCAGAACATATTCCCACACATCGTGTTACTTTTACAAAAAATACAAATTTAAACATTTCCTACAAATCACGAACTAACACTAATAATGTACACAGCTACACAGTATGAAATATTAGACATGAACTGTTAACAATGCAAAACTATTCATTCATTTTGAATTAACATACTGGAACGGTCACCTGTTCAATCTATTCATTGATAAAACATCAATGTCAAGGCACTTGTTCTGATGAATAAATAAACACTAGATTTAGACACGATCTAGTTTCGTAACCATTGTAAGTCTAGATACAAGCGGGTAACGGCTCTATCGTAAGAACATCGAGATTACCCGACCCACTCATGCGCAGCCTGCACAATAGAACAGCTAAGACACTGAATCTGCAACCATTGACATTTCCGCGTCTTGCCACAATTACTGCTTTTATACAATTTTCTTGTCCATTTCTTTTCCTGTGTAAGTTCCTTAATTGCATGGATAAGGTTTTTTTTTATAATAATCTTGACTTTAGGAATCCTCATCATCATCAGCCGTATACCGTCCTCTACTGGATTAGGCAATTAGGTGTGCAATTACACTATTGAGCTCGACGATCAGCTCTTCTCATCCTACCACTGCCAGCTTTTGTTTGCAACAGTCAAGCTTCAGCCTTTACTTGCAACAGTCAAGAAATAAATATTTGTTTTTAGCTTTTATACCACAAAATCTTTATGTGCAGTTCCTACCAAATGAAAATTAAAAATGTTTAAGTTTCATACAGATTTCATCATAAAGATCCTTTACACATTACACTTAAAATCAGAATACTGTTATTGGGAGACATTTTTAATTTTTAAATTTCTTTCTCTTCAGATGGCGATAACATGCGACTGCCCTATGATGCAGCCGGGCCCCACGCTGGCGGCCACCTGCGGAGGAGGTGCCTTCATGCTGTTCATGGGCCTGCTCGAAGTATTCCTGAGGAGTCAGTGCGATCTTGAAGACCCTTGTGGAAGAGCACAGGTATGTAGAAGAAGACCTTTATACTTGGTTAAAATTAAATAGTACAAAAAGATTGGTTATAAAAACGCTCCTCCTAGATGGCACCTTTGTCGAATAAAATCCTGATAGTCAAACCACTACTGCTTCTAAATTCGACAACAGACTTACTTGAGACCTAAATTTAAGTTCGCTTTAGCAATAAGTTGAAGCACGATTACTTTTATTAACCGACTTCAAAAGAGGAGGAGAGTTTTTTTTTTATGTATGTACACCGATTACTCGAAGACGCCTGGACCGATTTGCAAAATTCTTTTTTTATTCGATATATACTTGCCATTTGGTCCCATTGTCATGAGGTCAGGATCTGATGATGGAATCCTGGAGCAACCGAGGGGAACTTTCGAAAATTGTAGGGGCGAGTAGTTTTTTGTATGATGTTTCAGTAGGCCTTTAACAACACTACAACTTGACGAAGGTCGAAGTCGACCAGATGTTGGAGCTGGAAGACAGTCGAGGGATCTCCTTGACAATTTGGAGTAGTTGCCTTGTGTTTGGGCTTGAATGATTCGTATTGGCGAGCACTTTGCAGCAGGCTTGGTCGTAACTGTCATTAAGGGTCTGATGATGAGAACGAAGGACAGCTCAGGGAACTCCTGAACGGTTTACAGTAACTACTTCGTGTTTGAACTTAATTCATTTGTATTGATGAACACTTTGTACCTGTATGTATGGAGACAATTGACCGTCGAGGGAATTCCGGATGGAACCGAGAGACAGTCGAGAGAACTCCTCAACGATTCATAGCAGCTTCCTTGTGTTTGAGCTTAATTTATTCGTTTTGATAAGAACACAAGAATGACAGTCACAATCCATCAAGGTGTTTACACCTAATACCTAATAGTGTGTCATTAGGGATCTGATGATGAAGACGAAGGACAGTCTAGGGAACTCCTCAACGGTTTACAGTAGCTACCTCGTGTTTGGACTTAATTTATTTATATTGTTAAGAACTTTCCCTCTCCTAGAGAGATGGACTGTGTCCCAATAGTGGGAACATTAAAATGGCTGATGATGATGATGATGATGAGAACTTTCCCATTTCTTTAGATCTATATTTTTTAATCGAGCGGCTTCTTTCGTAGGCCTACTTAAAGAATATATACTATTCAATATGTTAATTTATATTTAAAATGTTACTGTAGTTTACAGAAGAACTTGTAACAGACACTAAAAAGTAAAAAATAAAAAAAACTACGTTTAAAAAACCGACTTCAAAAACATAAAAGTGTCAAATAAGTAATTAAAATTGATATTTTAATACCACTCTTACGTACGCGAAGCTAATACTTTTAATATTAATAATGAAACACTATCAATTCTATGTGCTACCTATTCATAGGTTTGAAGTCGGTGCCAAGCCCTAAACAGAATAAAACTAAATGAGAATTAAGACTGTGTAACTGCTAAAAGACGAAATTTCCACAACTAACAACGCAGCTACCTATCTATACTTTCCTATACTTTCAGAATTCATAATTCATCCAAATATCTTTCTAAGCTATATACAGTTTCGCGGGTAACGAAACCATATAGACTTCTGATTTTACGCTAACGCTATCAAGTTAAAAAATCGGTACTAAATTTCTTAAAACCTTACAAATAAATTCACACGCGCCCGGCGAGTTTAGGTACTCATGTATTTTTTTTTTTTTACTTGCAATAAACCAGTGCTTGACTGCGATCCCACCTGATGTTAAGCAGTGATGCAATCGTTGATGGTAAGGCGCACTAGTTTGTTAAGAGCCTATTCACTCTAGCCTTGAAGACACCTAAATTGTATTCGGACGGAAAGACTGCAGCCGGCAAACTGTTCCAATCCCTCGATGTACGCGGTATAAATGACGAGGCAAAACGCTTAGTCCGGGCCGCAGGTGTCTCAACAACGTAGGGGTGGATATTCGCCGTACGCCGGGATGTCCGAAGGTGAAATTGGGATGGCGGAATCAAATCGTGCAATTCCTGGGCACACTCTCCAAAATGCATCCTGTAGAAAACCGCAAGGCTGGCTACTCTGCGCCTGTGCTCGAGACTTTGAATATTGGACCCAACCAAATCTGGATCTCCAATCAGCCTTTTTGCACGCCTTTCCACCGAATCCAAAGCCGCTAGGTGGCATTTCGCAGCACCAGCCCATATGTGGCTGCAGTACTCCACACACGATCGGACCTGAGCTTTATACAACATTAGAAGCTGACTCGGTGTGAAGTACCGTCGGACTTTTGCAAGAACGCCGAGTTTTCTAGCAGCTACCTTGGCTCTGGACTCAATGAACCGCCCAAAGTTAAGGTCTGAAGCAATGTCCATTCCCTAAATAGTATCATGCTTATTATATTATGTATTAGGCTTGGCACCGACTTCAAACCTATGAATAGGTAGCACATAGAATTGATAGTGTTTTATTATTAATATTAAAAGTATTAGCTTCGCGTACGTAAGAGTGGTATTAAAATATCAATTTTAATTACTTATTTGACACTTTTTTGTTTTTGAAGTCGGTTTTTTTAAACGTAGTTTTTTTTTATAGTGAAGTATACACAAACAGCTACATTTAGAAACAAAAAAAAACATTTCTGAACAACCGAATTGACTGCATAATACCTCATGTAGGTACAGTATTCCCCATCATTATGTATATTTGACATGAGCTTGACATATCTTGTGTATCTATTCATCAATGTTTCCGCGATCGCCCGATAGACGCCCGGATCTTATCGATCCTCGTTCGGTATGAAGAAATTGTGTATTACCAGTTACATGTGTGTGCTAAGGAGTATGATGTTATCAGACAAGGCGATCTCTTACAGACAAGGTTTGGAAGAAGCTGATTAGTTTTTGAATATGAGGCGTCATGTTGTGTGGTATTTGTAAGTAGGTACTTAATGTCAATTTTAAAATCGGAAATATTATCTTACTTGTATTAGAAACGCGAATGTCTGTAATGTACAGATTGATGTTCGTTAGGTACTCTGTCATGTAAAAAATACTGAACGGATCTCAATAAAGGTGCAGATAAAGATTTTAGTTTGGAATAATACTGAGGCTAGTTTTTACCCTGGTTTGGTAGGCAAAGCTAGCAGTACGAATTCTAATTTGCTGTGCTACACGACATATCTATGTGATTCATTTAATTGTAAACGTCAGGTTGACTCAATATACACGGATTTTTCGAAAGCCTTTGATCGGGTGGATCATTCTATACTACTTGCAAAGATGTATCACGTCGGGATTCACGGGACTCTCTATAGATGGCTCTCATCCTATCTGTTAAATCGTACACAGTTGGTCGCACTAAGCGGATATGACTCTATACCATTTGAAGCAACGTCTGGGGTGCCCCAGGGATCGAATTTGGGTCCTTTGTTATTTTTGGTATTTGTTAATGACCTACTGAGTAAAATTAATAGCGAATGTTTAGCTTATGCAGACGATATAAAAATTTACAGGCGTATCTCAAATAACCAAGACTGTGAGATCCTTCAATCAGATATTGCTTCAATTGTTAAATGGTGTGATGAGAACTCGATGTCACTTAACATCAAAAAATGTCAGATTATAACCTTTTCAAAAAATAGTAAAAATATTATTAATTATAAGTACACAATTAAAGGAGTAGTAGTGGATAGGGTAAAAGTGGTACGCGACCTGGGTGTTATGTTTGATTCGGTGTTGTCATTTAGACCCCATTACGACCACATTTGCAATAAGGCCAATCGTTTACTATCTTTTGTGTTACGAAATTCCAAGCCATTTAAAAATCCGCAAACACACTTATTACTATACTATTCCCTAGTTAGATCTATATTGGAGTACTGCTCCTCTGTGTGGTCTCCGATGTACAATAACCACATAGATCGCATAGAATCTATACAGAGAAGGTTTGTCAGAAACTTAAGTGCAAAATGTGGTCTAAGACGTTAACTCCCCAATTACAAACAGCGCCTCACACACTTTCACATGAAGAGTCTTGAGAGAAGGAGATGGATTGGTGATTTAAGTGTATTGCATAAAATTGCCAATGGTTCTTTTGATATTAACTTACTTGACCAGTTAAGATTTAAGATACCCACTCGATCTGTACGCATTCCACAATTATTCAGTATTCCCTCTAGTAACAATAATGTTTCACAGAATAACCCGTTATCCAGAATGTGCAATCAATATAATACAATATGCCCTAAGGTAGACTTGTTCTTGAACAGTTTCAACGAATTTAGAAATTGCTTAAATAAATTGTAATTAATTGTTTTAGTCATGTATTAGCTTCTTAATATTAAGTACCTCAACTTTACTGTCTCTAACGAAGCATATTAATACTTGAATGCTGTGTACAGGAATAATTGGACTTCAGATTTATGTATTGTATGCTAACTATTGTTTTTTCTTGATTGTCTTAACCTGTAGTCTGTCACTGTACTTATTAAATAAATAAATAAATAAAGCTACTTACAATACTTTATAATAATACAAATGTATAATGAACTATCACACAACGATAGTACATATTTATATATGCTCACCTCTTATATAAATACTCTTTACTGATTAAGTGTATATTTACATAGTTATAAGTTAAGAAATATGTAATTTACCTCAATATTCACAGTAATAAGAAGTTATCATTTTTAGTTACTCAATAGTATTTAATATTTCAATAAACTTTGTAATTTTTACAATTTATATTACTTTGTTTTTTTTCACTTTATCTTTTTATTGTTTTTTTTTTATGTAATAGGTCGGCAAACGAGCAGACGGATTACCTGATGGTAAGCAATCAGCGCCGCCCATGGGCACCCGCAACGGAGGAGATACGAGTGCGTTGCCGACCTTTTAGATTTAGGGATTGGGGAAGGGTCGGGGAAGGGTTGGGCCTCCGGTAACCTCACTCACACGGCGAAACACAACGCTGTGGTTGTTTCACGTCGGTGTTCTGTGAGGCCGTGGTATCACTCCGGTCGAGCCGA